CAAAGCAAGCATTATCATCCATTAACAGGCATTTTTACGTTGGACCGACGTAACCAAGTTAATGGTCGGAAATGACATGGAAAATATGTTAAAGAAGAACGGCAGACAATTTCCTTGAGGGAATCCCGAGGACAAAATTATGGTGATTGCCAAAGAATAGCATTAAGCGACGCCGTTTGAAATAATTCCCACGGCAACGAAAAGAAAAAACAAATGAGAGTGTTAATGGGAACGTCATAATTTGACTAAAAAATATTCGGGCTAGTCTGAGAAAGCTCAACTCTGGCGGAATGAAAAATGAAAAAATTAACGAACTGCTTCTAAAACAAACGTAAACTTTTTTTTAAAGGGCAATTTTAAAGGACAACGAATATTTGAATAAATTACAAAAGTAACATGACGACAAATTCTGTATCCTAAATTGCTTTAAATTGTTATCATCGTCATAAGGCTGTCAGTCATAAAACTGATTGAACACGCACCTCCACTCTTTTCTATCCTGAGCTATAATCTTCGCATTTTCCTAGAACTAGAACATCCCACATCCTTTTAATTGCTGCTTCTGCTTCCAATGTCACTATCCAGCCCTTCATGCCTGAGAAGGTGTCCTACCAACCTATCTTCACTATCTCTTATAAAATTATTCGAAAACTACATTAAGAATGGTAAATTCAGTCTTTTCAAGTACCTACATTACGGAAACATGAATTGTTTTTTCTTTATAACTTCTACGTAATCAAATTAAGTCTGTTTACTTTTTTACTGCATGATGTTCAAAAATTAAATTCATACCCTTATTACAACTTCTCGGAATTTGTAGGGACACACGATTACGAAAAGTATGTAGTTTAATGTTAAGAAGTGTGAAGTTATCGAATCAAAACATATAATCAGTTTTAAAGTAAGCATAAGTGTGACATATTTTCCAGTATTAGTTTTTCTGGATTTGATAGTTAAANGACAGAACGAACAAGGTCAAGACTACAACCACGACCGAACGAACAAGGTCAAGACTACAAGCAAGACCGAACAAACAAGGTCCAAACTGCAATCAAGATCGAACGAACAAGACCAAGACTACAACCAAGACCAAACGAACAAGATCAAGACTACAACCAAGACTGAACGAACAAGATAAAAACTACAACCAGGAGCGAACAAAGAAGGTCGAAACTACAACCAAGATCGAACGAACAAGATCAAGACTACAACCAAGACCCAACGAATAAGGTCAAAACTACAAACAAGACAGAACGAACAAGGTCAAGACTACAATCAACACCGAAGGAATAAGACAAAGACTTAACCAAGACCGAATATTGAAGACCAAGACCAAATAAGCAAGACTATACGAAAAATTATTAATTCTGAGTTAAAGTATTTAAAGAAACAAACTATTTAAAGCAATTTTAAAATATTCTTTTCTGGGAACTAAATATTTTACACTAAATATAACAAAAAAGAAACTTTACCACTGTTCAAACGAAAAGGGTCTATCCTCGGAGTAAGTGTTCTTTGTTTCTATATCTATTCGTAACACATGGTTAAAAAGAGACAAACAATTTTTTTTTGATATTTTTTACTTTGAACAAGACCAAGAACATGACCGAATAAGCAAGATTAAGACCAATACCAAGACTGATAGAGTGTTGGTCTTAGTCTTGCTGTGTTCATCACTAGCGACAGACAGTCGCGACAAATACTTGGATAATAGAATAGAAACTCCTATTGAAATATTTAAAAAGCAGTCTCAAAAACACTATAGTCCTTGAAGTAATACTTTACGTGTTTCGTTTATAATTAAAATTGAAAACATTATTTTTGTAATTGTACCAAGCGGTACCTGATATCACTGTCACCTGATATTGAACTTGGACTTTACGCGACTGGCGTAACTTTTTGCGCATTCATGATCAACAGCAACTGCAATCAATTAACCACTTTTTTCTGTTTTGCATTGGAAGCTGATGCAATTAAAGTAATTGGTTTTAATGATGCATACATACCGTCTACAAATAATTAAATATTGTAATAACACATCAAAAGACTAGTAATTATCCATTTAGTTAACTATTTCATGTTGACATCTTTATTGACGTCTTTTTTTTGATAGAATATCAGTGGTAATTATTTCTGACAGGTTTTTGATGTTAATTGATAATTTTGAGAGAATCTACTGTTTCAAAGTCGAAACCTTTATACTTACTGTTTAATTACTATGGGGGCAGTGTCATTATTTCAGTGTATACTTTGCTACAGACGGACCTATGGATTGATGGAAATAATTTTTAATTTAGCTTAATACAAAATAAGAAAAGAAAACTGACGAAGCACTTCATAAGTTCGTGAGATATCAATATCAAAGGTGCCCAATATCTGCGAAAAACTTTTATTTTGTGTGTGGTTTAGTATTTTCAAATTACAAATTTGCATTTGCAATGTGTATTTCAAATAAATCAGATCCCTGAATATATATATACATATATAACATGCTACAGATAATAATTAGTAATTATACATATTGGCTGGGCTGCATGTATATTGACTACATTTTGTGGATTTTTTATAAATTAATTAGTTTATCTATATATTATTCAAAATAAGTAGTTGGTTGGTTACATAGATATACGGAATAAAGTGGAACTTCGATTTTTTTTATTTTATTGGTTTTGCTAAATAACCACAACCAAGGCCCAACGAATTTTAACTTTTAACTTTATTCAACTTTCGACTACACTGGCAAGCAAAATGACGTTTTGTTGAGTTTGTGAATTTTCTGGCTTGTACTTTTGCAATTTGTAAATCGAACATTGACTAGGAAACATATTTTCCGGTTTTATGATTTATTAGAAAAAAGAAACACAAAAAATAATTACTAATAACATTCTACCGATGTTCTCTTACTCCTACAGTAGCAACATTCTCAACTCCTCGAATGTTCTTGGAGCAGATATATACCTTCACGTCAAGACTGAGCTCTGGTCAATCCAATCAACTAAAGCTATCTGAGATGAAGCATTATTTTGATGAAAATGCCATGGTCACCTATAGCCTATGATAGGCATAACATGATCTTCTATTAGGACCTCCAGTATGTACCTAACTGTCAGAATATCCTCTCTATCAAATCTGCAGAGTGACAGATAACAATGATCAGAAAACAAATCTTTCAATGCCTATTAGTACAATGAAGCCCTCATTATTGTTGCTCCTCCAAATATTTCCAATTTTTTACGTGAAATCTACTTTTTCTCAGCAGTGTGTATCCGTAACTGCGCTTTAACTTCATCTAATAGGTGAAATTTCATAAGTCTATGAAATACCTACCTACTACAACATATAGGGGTAGTTATTTGACCAATTTGTTTGTTGTTTTGTTATAATTCATAACGTTAATAAAGGCTCCATAAGCAGTTTTCAATATGCATTTATTTACATATTTGCACCCATTTTTTTTATGTAACCGTCAAGGCGAACTTTAATTCTTGTATTTAAATGCTTCTAAAGAAACTTACTTTTTTTTAATGAAGTTCTATCTAATTAGGACATTATTCTCATTAAATTTTTTTTCTCACATAAATAAAATCTTGAAAATTCCCGTAGGCTTTACTTTCTATCACATAAGTTTTATTTTGCTTTCATTTTATAGAGAAAACGGTAAGAGTTAGCAACAAGAAATGAATGGGTCAAGTGCTTTGTTAGGCACTTTAAGAAATTAAAAACTCGCTCTATATCGTCTTCAACTGCATGTTCCGCCATTTAAGTAAAATGGGCTTATTAAGTCAAGAATATATATGTACATATACGCCGTGTTTCTTCTCGAGATTTTTTTATTGGAAGATAAATAAATAAAATATGAATCGCCAAATTTACTTTCTAACGAAAAAAAAAACTTAGTGATTAAGACCTTTTCAAATTATAAAATCACTTAATACAATTCACTAGTCAAAGAGGATTGGGAAACGAAGACCAGAGCTGCCATTTCTGACGCAGTTTGCTACGTGCTGAATCCAAATTTTCCATAAGAATTACTTCAGTATGCCTGACCTCAATTACCAAAAAAATCTATTGTTGACCTATGTACTTGGAAGTGCTATTACGTTAAATAAAAAACCAATACAACCAAGAGAGTTAATATTCTGAAATACATAATTTAACCTTAAAATTCGAATGAGTAAGCTAATCAGGTGTATATGGCTTTGAGATTAGAATTTCGTGACATGTAAAGTTCGTTGTAGAAGAAAACATTCAAATTGATTACCTATTCTTTTTTGTTTCTTTTCTTCAACATTACACTGAAGTGATTTCTCAAAAAACAGTTAACAAGAGGGTAAAACCAATTTTAATCTATTTTTTTATAAAGCTAATCGAATCTGACTCCGAAAGTAATTGAATTATAGCGAGATACCCTCATCTGAATAAGAAACAAGCCGAAATAGCAACATTTGGATAAGAAGGTTAAAACATTTCCAAATATTGATACTCTGAGGGAACTGTGCCACTATATTGTAATTGAGTAACTAAATATGCAATCAAAATGATCATCCTCATACTTGTTTTGTCCTTTTACTTTATGTAATTATACTGTCAGAGACTAAAAGGTGCATTTTTTGAGCTTTAGATTAAAATTTATTTACCGTTTTGCCGGTAAAGCTGTCTACTGCCTGATATAAAAAATAGCCACTAGATAAGTTTTAATTTTAGAGTGAAGAAAATCTGAACGTGTATCATTACTATACTTTAAACAAAATATGGAATCTACTTTAAATTTTAGTGGAAACACTCGTCTATTCTGCATTGGCATCACTTTTTCCCAGTAATGACGTGATAAAACACGTACGTCCATTTGTTTTTGTTTTACAATTTATAATACCAACTATAAAAAGATGTACAAAGAGATTATTTTTATTTGGAATTTCTTTCTTTATTCAGAAATGAATTAATAATAATAATAAATCATTAGATGTGTCATACTTATAGATAATTAATTATTATCTTACCAACATATTCATACATATGAGTAATTTGGAATAAGGCTAGGTACGAGATAATGTCTGACACTGTCTCACCTGAAACAAGAAATATAATATTAGACATTGATGTTTACAATTCACCAAAAATTTATGTTATTCAACAATCATTAGTAGATATATGTATGTATTTATATGATAATGTAAAACGTTTACCGAATATGGAAATTACACATTTCTCTACCGGTATTTTTCTTTTTATCTAGGTATATCCGCAAATATTTCCTAATGCTACTTTTAAAATTCCTGAACTAACCGGACTCTTCAAATCTTTTGAACAAAACGTAACAATGTGCCTGAAGGCACTTATTATACGAATTTTCTTAACCACGTAGTATGTTTCAAAAAGTGATGCCGCCCTTTGATGATTGCATGAAATCATAGAATATGCCTATGTTCGGTCTTCATCTAGCCACTAGCGTACAACACAGAAACACTGCAGTATGCCAGAGCATCATTCAAATTATTGCATTTTCACCTTACGTGAATTACATTCAACGATATCTATCCTCAACCAAGAGCTTCATAGAGCATAAAAATGATAGGCGCATATATACTTCGTTTAGTTTCTGTAGCGATGACCTTCAGTTTGACCGGCGCAAAGTTGAAAAAAACAGCACTAGGTTAGAAAAGAAAGGAAACAACTCTCGGCCAAACTCTTAACCGGTGAGGAGCGTATAATTCATACAGTACTGCACGGAAAAATTGACCATTTTATTCACTACAATTGCATTGCTCAAATGTTCTGTTATTGGTACCAATTACTACTGAAAATATCAACGAGATGTTTATTTATATTTGAAGACATATTAAAGGCTTTAACGCTTGTTTTCGACTCTCACTACTATTCATGATTGAACAAAACTTTTGTATGAAAAAGTATGTTTAATGAACAAGAGTCGAGAGTATAATGAGCTTTTTTCTCCCAACCTACGATTTTGCAGGCACGCATCGAAGACATTGGGAGGGGACCATCGCTAGAGAAAGTAAATGAAGTATACCTACAATGTCAAGCTAGAGGTCTCCACCTCCAATGTTAAAGTCACCTTATAGCCTAAAGACCTAGCATATTACATAAGTACAAGAAAATTTGAAACTTAGTTATTTAAGGCAGATGATAATACCTGTCGAGTGTAAATGATTTTATCTATTTTTAATTCCATGATGGCCTCTTAGAAACGGAAACGGATAGAATTTATAATTATTTACGCTGGTTGTTTAGTGACACCAATTTTCGTTGTCCAAAATAACAGAGTTGTGTGAACAAGAACGGGGTCACAAATAAATAAATAAAGACCGAAGTCATTATGAGGGTTGGCAGAGAGATAAAGCAGTGGAGGTGAGTTTGTCGCTGGTTCCGTTTCTAGTGCACGGGCGAGAGAGACAGAAGGAGAGGGAGAGGCAATTTACGTCTTTTGTCTGATTTAGGACAACAAATTAGCATACCGAATCCGACTTTGCAAACCACAGCACGATCCAAATCTGCAGACGCCTGAAAATTCGAGGCCGAACCCTAATCCAAGGAAAACATGAAATGACTGTCTTAATTCAAACTGCGTGGTTTAACTTAATATGCATACAGAGGTAGAAATTCGATTTTTTTTTTTATAATAAAGGAATACGCTTAAAACAAACCTTTTTGAGTTGCTTAACACTACACATTTTAATTCGAAATAAATAAAGGTTAATAATACAGGTCTGCGATAAAAAAGTTTTTTGTATAAATTTATCTTAAGCAAACAAATGTTGGTCTATATTTTGCAAATATAAACTTTGTTTTAACGTATCACGTCACATTTTTTTTGTATGTAGATTAATATTTGTATCTTTGAATCGGCAAATTTATATGTTTTTTCACAAAATTTTATAGTTTATATTTCTATTTAATACTCTCTGACTGAGCATTATATTGTCTTTTACTTTATTTTAGATAGTCTGAAAGTAACTATAGTCGTTTACACCGCCTGAAAAAAAAAATGTTTATAGCGCGCCATTATTGAAAGAGATATAATATTAACGTGTAATAAAAGATTGTGTTTCATTTATCTTTAACTATGGCTTCT